GTAATGGCCTGTGATATCCAGGAGGTCAGGCCAGATGGTATAATGATCCCTTCTGGCCTGAAACTCAGTGAATCTCGGAATGAATATAAATGCTATCATCTGGATGTGCATTTGAAATAATTGCAGGGAGAGATTAGACACGCAATTGCATATGGTTCAGAGTTGATAAACTTTCTTCCCCTCCAGAACAAAGGCCCTTATTTATACCTAATTACACGGTGCTGTTGTAATTCAGATAAATATCCGTTAGGAACTCAGCTGGGATGTCAGCAAATCAATTTTTACTACTGTGCGTGCATGTTGTGCGAAAATCTAGTTTTTAAAGCTTATGTGCAACTCCAGACTTGCTCACATAGGAATGTATCCAGGAAGAGCTCCAGCGTGGACATTTTCTCCACCCAGAGAGTGCCATTACACGCTTTAGCCCTGTCGACTTTGAAGTTGCCTCTGTTAAATCGTGAGGATGCAGAGGCCCTGGTCTCCAAAGCAGCTGGGTGCGTAATGCTCACGACTGCCCGCACACTGCTGAATGTTACGGGAAAGCGTTGTCAAAAGAGTAATAGCGGGAAACAAAAAAGCACGAGCTCCTAAGAGTAGCTTTGTTCGTGCTGACATTATCGCAAATGGCATCTCTGCTTGGGCAATGCAAATGCACCTGCAAAATGGCCAGCTGTTGCAATGGTACTGCAGAAAGAAGCACGAAATAGTAACTGGTATAAGAAACCGCATTAAAACACAGATAACTTCTAATATGAATGTCATCATATTATGTAGCTTTCAATTTTAGTGTTATCTCGCTCAAAAAAACATTCAAAACAACTGCACAGGTAAGCTGTGAGGCCATGCAGAGGAAATAGCATTGTTAAAGTTCAGTGAAATGATATCACTTATGGTATGCGTGTGCTTATCTGTGCTCAGAAGAAAAATGTTGAGGAGCATAAAGGGTTTCATTCATAAAGGGCCTTAACCTTTTGTACTCTCAGTCTCCTCCAGATCCAACTCCCACAGGCAGTACCAGACGTTTGCCCGCTTTGCCAGTGAGGAGAAAGTTTATCTTATCAAGTTCTGAGCCCAGTACAGAGCTCCAGACAGCACCTAAAGTGCCACTGGAGGACTTAATGTTCCCAGGTAAGGAGAGCTCTGCTTGATTTGAAGGGCTCTGCAACCTCCCTCATGGTTACCCGAAGATTTGGGCAGTTCTGTGACAGGCCAGTCTTACAGGTTGCCTTTCTCAAAAGCAAATGTGAACTGACCAAACTATGCATCCTCTAATATGAAGTCTGGAACCTGCTCCCGAATCCAAATTTTATTTATTATAACCATCTTCTACTTTTTTCTTCCTTTTTATTTACTTTTTTTCCAAGCAACATCCATTGAGCATCATGACTAACATGAAGGCTGCAGAAGTGCATGCTGATGTATAAGCCGTACGACAAAATGTCCTCGGATTCTCCTTTGCTGATGCTCAGAACCCTGCAGTTAATTTCTCATTAGCTAATTGTAGCTGCATTTTTCAATCTCATTTCAGCTCAAAAAGGAAATGTGATAATGGTGACTCTGCAGGTACTCTGCAGCGAAACCAAAATTTTAATGAATCTCAGTATTACTTTTTTATGTGAATAACAAGGCTGTCTGCAAATACTATTCTGTACAGTTGTTCTGATTATTTTGTTAGATTACACTAAAAATGAAAGTGACAAGAAATAATGAAAATTATATTTTAAGTTAGCTGCGTTTTAATGTGGCTTTTTGCCAATTAATTTTTTCTACAAAACCTTGCAATAGCTGGCGATTCTGAAGCTGCTTTTTCAGTACTTCCACAGCAATGGCCTTTATGATACTACTGCTGCATCAGCAGAACTACAAGGCCTTTCTGTAACAGTTCTGCAGTAACACTAATTTCTTACAGGTCCTAAAGGTCGTTCGTATTTTCAGTCAAATAGCAATATCTGCAAATTTTAATGATGCTTCTTCATTCATGTTATAATATCCAGATTTGTTATAAAATTCAACAACGTATGAAAATGTCATCACTAGGGATGAATGAAGCAGCTCATCTGAAAATGAAAATCGGCTCAAATCTTTGCAGGTGTTCAAAAATCCCTCCCTGCCTCCACTTCTCAGGCCCTTTCACAAGTACCTGTCTAAAATACCATGATGGTGCCTAAAATACCATCCTAATTTACTTTTATAGACAAAGGAAATGCTTAGAGCTAATTATCTAAACGTAAGTACCACAATTGGTACAGAGCCATATGGGAAATTATTAGTTAAAATAAGAGATTTGTGCAAAAAAATTGGGAAGTGGATAATGAAGTAGTAGGAGAGGATTGAGTCTGAGAGAAAGCAGCACAGTTTCCCAAGTGTTAGTCTTGAGCCTGATATAATTCAGCATTTTTTATTAATGATGATGGCATAAAAAATATAAGCATGTGCTACTTGAATTTACCAGTGGCATCAGGTAGGGACCTACTGTCACTGAAAAGACTTCTCATTTGGGAAGAACTGAGTGACCATGAGAACTGGGATAATATAAATTGGATGAAATTGAGAAGGATTTGAGTGCAAGATCATGCCTGTACATTTGGGTACTCAATGGTAAGAACTTACTAAGATGGAGAAAGGCACAGAGCATACAAAGCAACGTATTTTACCTGTGGAAAAGGTTAGAAGGCAGCCAGGACAGCACACGCTACTCAACAGTGATTCACTTCAAATCTGGGAAGCTACCAAAAAAGATAACAGTGACCATGGGAAGGGAGAGCCTTAAGTGTGAGAGTAGCTTGACAAAACGAAGGGCAGGAGAGGCACTATAAATACTGCATGGGCATGGGCTCCACAAAGAGAAAACCTCTATTCAAACCAAAGGACAACACTGGCACAAGAGCAAATGAGTATAAATTGGTCATGAATAAATTTAGGATAGAAATTGGAGGCAGGTTTCCAAACAACAGAATAGTGATGTTCTGCAATTGCTTTCCAATGAGAACAGAGGGAACAACAACAACAACAAAAAAAAACCCACCCAAGTTACTTTCAAGACAGAGTATAATGAGTTCCTGAAAGGGATTATGTGCTGTGTTTGGCTAAGATAGCAGGCAACTAGACTTGATGACCCAAGAGGTCTCTGCAGCCCTGTCTTTCTAAGCCTGCTTTTCATGGCCAAATATTTCAGAGCGCCGTTAAGTATTTCCTTCCCTTCATGTATTTTTTAGATAAATTTTTACAGTGTTCTCCAGGGACTGCCAGCTGGACTGATTTAGTGAAGGACCGAAAAAACAGTGTCCAGAATACGTTGAATACCATGCAAACCGAGCAAGAGAAAGGAACATCCAGCATTCTATGGGGGCAGGCATGGGTGCTCAAAGGGACCATCAGCACACTTCTGCAGAACTCAGTATTTCCATTACTTCTTGAAGCTGCATATTCCCTTGTCAGTGTGCCCATGAAAGGATGTGTAGGGAAGCCCTGGCTTCAGGATTGGGTAGCTGGATTTTTGTGGGTTCCCTACCCACAAAAGCAAAGGTGGGCCTTTGCAGCTCTTTTTTTTTTCATTCTGTAAAAGCTTCATCAAGCTGCTGGGAGGAGGCAGGCTGGTCTGGATTAATGCAGTCACTCCCTTATTATGAGATCTTCTTGTAGTCACAAGTTTTATGATTTTCTATGTCTGCTTCAGTTGAAAACCGATGAGGGGGAAAATGAGATCTGCAGCAGTGGACAACTCTGGTGGTTTCTCCTTTCCAACTAACGCCAGAAACCTTTTTCTGAAATTGGCTATCAGTGTCAAAGATAGGTTAGGACACTGGAAACAGTCAGAAGAAATCCACAATAGTGCAAGTAGTTTGGAAAAGGAGAAAAGATAGGCGGTAGCTTTACCAGGGAACAGTCCTTTGCTTAGTCCTTGTCACCGTCCACATCAGTCACACGTGCAGCAGGCAGCAACTCTACTTTGTTGCACAAATACTTCAACAATCCATTAAAAACAATGACCAGGATAGCCCACTGCTCAAGTTCAGGAAATGAGGCAAGGAGCACCTGCATCACCAGACAGAAGAATCATTGAACAGTGGAAGCGATCAGACTAATTTAAGAGGAGGTTTTCCTGCCTCAGCCCCTGGGTTGGGAGCAGGCACCTGCCAGGACATGATGCCCTGGGGATGCTGGAGCCTGGCGCTGATGAGAGGGCGCAGCACCCTGATGCCAGCTGCACAGTGACATGCTGTTGGAACTGCCATCCGGCAGGGGAAAAACCTCCGTTCAGAGCAACTCCGTAGCAAGCACAACCCGTACTTACTGCCGTGTTTCAGTTCATGCCCTTTCCCCCGCACCCAGCTGTGGGAACACGGCTGCAGCAGGGATGCTTTAGGGGACACAAAAAGCAAAGTTTCAACCATGAGCTTTTGAGTAGGAAGCATGCTGAAGAACTGTGTGAGCACAGGAGCTGGGAGAAGCAGCTTTTTTCTCAGAGATGTCTTTGGATTTCAGGGCCTGCATGACAGCAGTGCTCATGGTTTCAGGAAGGATGTATGGGGCCTCCCTGCCTGCACTGCGGCCTGCCTGCCTCCAGCAGGAACAAGTGCTAGCAGTGATTAAGTACCACCGACCAACGACTATGAGGACAACCCCTCAGAGGTAAATCAGCCTGGGGCCTGGGCTGTGGCTGGACACTCAAGCCTGCAGCTTGAGACCAGAAGTCTGGTGTGACCACAAGCCCAAGCTTGCTGCCTTCAGTTTCTCACTTCTCAGGATTTTGCAAAAACGGAGGTTTAAGAACTCCATCTACAATTAGCAGAGAATCCTCAGGATCCTCCTTGCCCCCTTTTGTCAGCACTTCAGCTCATGCCAGGCACCATATCCTGTGTGGGCTGAGCAAGGACACCTGGGCAGGGTGGGCTGTGAGATGCCTGTGATGCTGTCACAGCCTGCGAAACAGGAAGACAAAAAGTGGCAAGGGAAAAAAACCCAGTGCTTGAACAAAAAGCAAAAGATGCAGTGTTCGTTCTTCACTCTTCCCTCAGTGCTGCCTTGCCCTTTGCGGAGGCTGAGAAGTGTGAACACATCCTGTTTATCTCAGCAGCACCACCACCGTGCTGGGTTCAGTGGCAGCGGTGCAGACACAGCTGGCGAGGCCATGGAAGCGCTGCCCATCTACCACGGGGGCATCACTCGAGAGACTGGGGAGAAGCTGCTGCTGGCGGCGGGTGCTGATGGCAGCTACCTGCTGCGGGACAGCGAGAGCATCCCGGGGGTCTACTGCCTCTGTGTGCTGTGAGTACGGGTGGCGGAGGGCTGGTAGGGCTGCTGCAGATCCCAACTTGGGAATCTGCATGGTGGGGGAGTCCCGTGCAGTGAGGCTGAGCACAGATGGGTGGGTGAGGGGCCATGGACAGCTCAGCTTTGTGCCTGCTGATTGCTGCTCCTCCAGCTCTTGCTGGAGAGGGCAGTGAAAGCATCGCCCCTGTGTTTTCACTTTGGGGTGCTCTTGGTCAGGGTGCATCCTATAATCCATCAGGCATGGATTAAACTACCTTTGAAGAATGAGGACTACTGATGGGTAACAGACTAATTGAAAACATTTCACCACATAAAGTGAATGGGGAAATATTCAAGGGGGTGACCTGCCAGAGAGGTATTAGTAGATATTGCCCTGGGATAGATGGAAAACGATGAAGTCACAGGACCTCATTTTAATGAGCATCTTAGTTTCCCTACTTTTGGGAAAGGCAGAGGAATGAGACATCCTTCGAGAGACTATTGTACAGCCAAGTACCAATGCACGGTCAGAGCAAAGATTTGCCCATGCAGATGGTTGTATCTCTCTTCAGTAGAAGAAAAGCAAGAGAAAACAGTGCTAGGACTGGAAAGAAAATAGCTAACAGTGAGCAAAGAGAGGGCAGAAAAAAACAGCGGAGGAAGAATTGTTAGTCAGGTTTTCCCCAGAGGTCTTGAATACATTTCCAACAATACGCAATTAAGCTCCAAGTGAGCATTATTATTCTCCTGTTGCAGACCAGTAAATGGAGAAATGCAAGGAGGTAATAGGCAATCCACAAATATACCACCTCATAGCAGAACGTCTTCATGGCAGAAGACATATTCTTTCTTCTCTTCATGAAATCAGAAGATGAGCCAAGACAGGCACTTCTGCTAACAAATACAGCCCTTAACAGCTAGAAGAATGTGAAATAAGAAAATGGAATAGAAGTAGCAAGGGGTAAGGAGTGCTATGATTCCTGCGATGGCAACAGGCAATAAAAGCAGAATCTTTTTAAAATAGCCATTAGAGAAAGTGATGATATACCTCCTTAACACTCAGAAGTCAGTCAGTGCAGATGGAACACCAAGGCGTTAGAGAAAGGGTCAAGCAGAACATTACAATGCTGCATAAAATAGGGAATTTTTTTTATTAGTCTAAATCAGGCTGTAAGTACATAATGTGGTCTTCAACCTGCATGCAATCAGTTGGGATTTTTTGCCACGTTAATGACACATCTTCAAGAAGAAATTTCGTGAATTAAATATATAAAATGTAATATAGAAAACGAGATATATAAAACAAAAATAGGAAGAACAGAAAGGATTGCTAGCTATAAAGCCCTGCAAGCTCTGGGAAAAGAGCAATAAGACCCACCTAACTGTATCTGGAAATTATTGGCCTCTCAAGTCTTCTTATCATGTCAACTTCAAACACATATATGCTATGCAAAGGGAAAAAAGAAAAAAAATTGCTGATGAATTTTATGTGGGTTTCTTGTAGAATAGAAATCATGAACATTTTTTCTTTTATTACAATCCTCAACGTATGAGGGAAATTTCCAATAGCATCTTGGATAAATTCTGAGAAAAAAAATAAATGAAAAAATGTTGTGGTGAAAATGACCATACAAAGATGGTAAGGTGGCTGAAAAGTGGTAGAGTTAAAGCTTGGATCTAATGCTTCCTAATATTTCAGCTCAGATAAACAACATATTACACAATAACTTTGAGGACAGTTATCATAAAGGCATCAAGGAGTAGCCTCTCACTGGAGGTAGCAGTGACAGGTTAGATAAATGTATGCCATAAACTACAGAAGCGCCTTAATAGGCAAATTTACTAAAGCTAAAGGTAAAATGTCTCTTCAGAAGAGAGAAACTAGAGAAGAAGGCAGGGAAACCGTTAGAGGTGTAGATATATATTCAACAGATGATGCCAAGATGATGCCTGGCTTTGCAAAAATAAACCCATCAGTCCAAACCCCCTACATTCAAGTCCAAACAGCACACACAGAGATGGAACAGGTGATGAGAGTGTATGTGTACAAGAGCTTGGTAAAATCCAAGGAGGAATCACGCAGCTCCCGTGTTCACAGTTTATCAAAGGGAAAACAAGAGTCAGGAAAGTGGCCTCCCTGCCCACCCTGATGCTGGTGAGTCCTGCAATTGCCTCCGCCTTTCTGTGGCTCAAGCAATGCCTCCTTTCTTGGAGAGACATTGTAAGTTGATGGTGGCACCGTGCTCTCTGCACTCCCCAAAAGCCTCAACGTAGTTTGGCAGTCTTTGAGCACGCATAATAAGGGCAGTGGCGTTCACAGCCAGGTTCATTCACCTTTTGCTTTTTCAATTAAAAAGTGGAGCCCTGACCTTTAAAAGGGAGAAGAGTCAAAGATTCACGAATCCCTTGCGCCTGACACTGATTTTACAGGGCAATCATAAAAGAGACAGGTGGTAGCATAAAACCTGACCTATAGAGATGGGTAGCTGTGTCAGGCATGCCCCTGTTGTCAGAGCATTTGTCTAGAAAACTCTGCTTTTTCTCTGTTTCTCCTGATGTATTCTCTGTCTCCCTGGAATGCTGCTTTCTGCTAGCCCAAGTCACAACACACACGCAGCATGCCTGCCAGTCTGCAAAGAAGGAGCAGATTTTGGTGTGGCTGTGGCAAAGCGCAAAGAACCCACTTTCAGAAATATTTTATGACCACAGTTACACTTTGCACAGAGGGGTAGAAGGGTTTTGCTTTGGACCAGGGTCACCTGGGGCTCCCGCAAACAAAAATGCTGCCTGCAGTCTTTGGCGAGGTTTTCTGTTTCAGATGATCTTCATGGCACCTCATGATCTTTGTGGTACCAATGCCATCATTACATTGACAACATGTACTTTAAGGCCATCCTTTGCTCCTGTTTGACAGTGGCAACAGAGGAACACACTCATTGCCTGGAAATTTGTTAGGGTTGCATTGAACAGGGAGAAGACTTTTATCGCTCCTGAAAACTGGAATAGAAGAAATATATATGCTTTAAAAAAATGTACACGTTTTCTCTGTAAATGTGTGCTATGTGCAGTGCTCTGAGGTGTTGCTGTCAATGCCTGGCTGTTCCAGAGAGCTTTCTTTACTGATACGGCTTCCTCGCCGCTCGATATTCCATCTGACGTTTTTAGCACTGTCAGAAATCCTCTGTGCACATTGCTCCTAATGAAGTCGATGGGGGACACAGGACTCAATAAGGGAGGCCAGCTTGGGATGAAGCCTCTTCAATGGCGCATGAAAAACACATGGAGTGAACTCCTGAGAGTGCCAAAAGCATTGCTTTCCTTTACAGCTATATGACAGTGTGTGCAGAAACAAGCAGTTCGTGCCTGAAATGGCACAGAGAAAGCAGTTTGTAGTTTGGGCCTTAACATTCATATACTTGGCGTGTTAGTAGCTGTTTCAGGCCTTCAAATATTTCTCGGTGAATGTTCAGCTAAACATGACATACTTGTCAAATCCTATGTTCAGATCATTTGTTTGGAGTCAGCCCTTCATGTGCTGTGTTGCATTCAATTTGCAGACAATAGTCAAAAGCCAGAATAGAATACTGTTTAGAGGACTTGAAGCAGCAGCAATGGCACTGAGGATAGGCTGTGATATCTGTGCTATCAGACTTTTACACACACTGTTATTTCTGTCACCATAACCACAGTGCAATGTGTGGAAACTTCCTGATGAAGCAGATCTATCAGGTGTGCAGTGTGAAGGTGTGAGGCGGGATCACGAGTCATTTCAGCTCAGCATTTCCTTTGTTTCCCATGTTTGACAGAAGTCACAGAATAATTGCATTCATTATAACGCTGCACATAATAAGCATCATCCTTTGGAACAAAAGCTTCTCTCTGTGGGGGAGCTCCTCAACTCAAAGTTGATGTTGTACATATCATGCTCTATTTTCAGCTTTGAAAAAATCTTTTGCAGCAGAGCAGAGGTATTTCAGCTCCCTGCTGAATCTTTGCTAAGGAACAACTTGTCCCATGGCTTTCAGCTATTCCAGTGCATTTTCCTGGAAAGATTTTAGGTCAGCAGCCTGAATGATGGCTAGTCACTGTGCTAGGCAGGCTGCACACAACAGAATGAGTGCAGTTGGTAGATAACAAAATCTAGATCAGCTCTACTCGATTTTCCAGACCTGAGCTTTGAAGATTTAGTTCAAGCAGTGATTTCAGCTCCAGGGATTTTATGGTCAGAACTGTGCCTCCCTGCTCGGAGAGAAATGGGAAATCTAATTATGAGCTACAATGCATCACTCCCAAGCAGTCCTACAAATGTTTCAAAGGTATATGAAACTATGAGATTTTACCTTTGTGATGTGCCGTTCTGTAGGACATCATCATTCACAAAGCTTTGCTACTGCCCCACTGGAGAATAAGTTCCTGCCTTTTCTTGTCTCAGATTGAAATCAATTCTTATTCTATTTCCAAATGTCAATAAATTCCCATTTGAGGCATTCCTTTCGGCTCTGCTATCCTGTAGCAGACCACCACAATCACACCTGCACGCTGTCCCTGCAGGTGAACCAGCTCTTCTGCTGGTCATCAGCAGTGCTCAAATGGCGATGCTGACAATCTTTCACAGCAGATTACTTGCATATAGACTCACCGGCATTTCAGAAGCTTTCCTTTTTTTCCTTTTTTTCAGGCTTTTGCTCATTTTAGAAAAGAAAATCGTGAGAATGCCTTTGCTTATAATGCTGCAGTGTTATGGTAGATCTACACATTACAGATTTGGTAGCACGAGTAAATACAGCAACAAGCATTGGTAGGGAATCAGTGATAGAAGTGTAAACTCAGATGGGCGTGTATGGAGTGCTACTGTGAGCTTGGTTGAGCTTTTCAGACCATGTAAACACTGATTTAAACTATTCTGTGCACTCTTGCTGACAGAGAACTTGTATCTTGCATATCATCTCAATGCAAACGCTATTTCTTCAGCTTGGGTTAGCTGATGGGTGGTAATTGCTAAGCTGCTGTACCTT